AAAAAAAAAAAAAAAAAAAAATTTAACCAGAGAGAAAGAGAGAGGGAAAGTGAGAAAACAAGCCACCAGGTCTGGGACTCGAACCGTGGTCACCAATGTGGGAATGTCCAGCGCCTTAACCACCATGCCAACTGCTGGTCCCCCAGTGTGGTTTTTGAGCCATCAGGTCTAGGACTCAAATTGCATTGACCATGTAGGAATCTGGTGCCTTAACACCATGCCAGCTGCTGGGCCCAAGAAGTCTATGAACTTCTTTTGCTGTAAAGTGTGTGTGCTCGCCAGAGAGACAAAAAGAGACAGAGAGACAGAAAGCGAGAAATCACCCCCCAGGGGAGATGGCCATGGCGCAATCCCTTCTCCTCCATTCTCCTCTCGGGATCTTGGGCACACACGCACACGCACCTATTTGAGTTTCAAGCCACCGGGTCCGGGACTCAAACCACAGTCAACTACATGGGAGTCCAGCAACGGAACCATTATACCTCTGCTGGTCCACCTCTATGAACTTTTTTTTTTTTTAAAGAATTATTGGGCCAGCAGGTGACATGGGGGTTAGGGTGCAGGACACTCCCACATGGCAGACTATAGTTTGAGTCCTGGACGTGGTGTCTTGTTTTCTCACTGTCCCTCTTTCTCTCTCTCTCTGTCTCTCTTGGGTCAAATGAAAATAAATGATTAAATAAATTAAATAAATAAATTCCTTTTCTTTTTTTGGAGAGGTTTTTGCTATAGGGCGCGTGCGCTCGCCAGACAGACAGAGAGAAACAGAGAGACAGAAAGCGAGAAATCACCCCCCCAGGGGGATGGCCACGCCGCAATCCCTTCTCCTCCATTCTCCTCTGGGGATCTTGGGCACGCATGCACACGCGCCCGGCGTGAGTTTAAGCCACTGGGTCCGGGACTCGAACTGCGGTTGACTACATGGGAGTCTGGTGAAATAGCCATTACACCAACTGCTGGTCCCAATAAATAATCCTTTTTCGGGGCTGGCAGGTGGCTTGGTTGTTGGGGGTACTGGACTCCCACATGGCTGACCACAGTTCGAGTCCCGGACCTGTCAGCTTGCTTTGTCACTTTCCCTATCTCTCACTATTTCTCACTCTGTCTCTCTCTGGTCAAATTAAAATAAATACATGAATAAATAAAGTTAAATATAATAAGTCTTTAAAAAATAAAAATAAATAATTCTTCTTTTAAAAAATAATGATCTAACTTTATTCATTTAAATGTGACCAGAGAGAGACAAAAAAACTTTTATTTTTTTAAAGACTTATTTTATTTAACTTGATTTATTTTGAATTTGACCAGAGAGGGACAGACCGGGCCTGTGGCTGTCAATTTTCAAGCCCTGGTGAAACAATTTTCAAGCCCTGGTGAATTCCTCTCCCCCAGTTGGAGGTTCAGGAGGCTCAGTGAACACGCCAAGTTGTCTGTGAAACTTTAACGGTGCACTTAACCTTCTTCAGCTACAGTTTAACGCTTCTTACATGTCTCCTAATAGCGGGCCTGGCCCTGACCCTATGGTTAAAGGAACTGCATACTGGGACCAGCCAATGGCATAAGGGTTACGTCACTGGACTCCCATGTAGCCGGCTGCGGTTTGAGTCCCGGACCCGGTGGCTTAAACTCACGCCGGGCGCGTGTGCATGCGTGCCCAAGATCCCGAGAGGAGAATGGAGGAGAAGGGATTGCGGCGTGGCCATCCCCCCTGGGGGGTGATTTCTCGCTTTCTGTCTCTCTGTCTCTCTCTGTCTGTCTGGGGAGCACACGAACCCTATAGCAAACACCTCTGAACCCCTCCCCCCCCAAAAAAAACATGCTTAATTCTCAGGAGGGGAGTTAAGAACTAAATATGTAAAGACAGGACGGGAGACCAGCAGATGGCATAGTGGTCATATCACGGGACTCCCATATGGCCGACAGTGGTTCGAATCCTAGACCTGGTGGCTTCAAATTCATGCTGGGGAGGTGTGTGCGTGCGTGCCCAAGATCCCGAGAGGAGAATGGAGGAGAAGGGATTGCGGCGTGGCCATCCCCCCTGGGGGGTGATTTCTCGCTTTCCCTTTCGCTATCTCTGCCCTAAGGCAAAAATCTCTACAAAAAAAAAAAGAACAGGACTGAGCCCAGCAGGTGGCATAGTAGTTTAGGTGCTAAATTCTCTTGTGGCTGACCAAGGTTCAAGTCCCGGAAACAGAAGCTTGAAACTTATGCTGGACACGTGTGCATACAGGCCCAAAATCCCGAGAGGAGAACAGAGGAGGTGAGGTTGCGGCTTGGCCATTTCCCTGGGGTGGGGTGTGATTTCTTGCTTTCTTGTACTCTCTGGCTAGTGTACGTACCCTATAGCAAAAATCTCTCTTAAAAAAAAGTTTTTTAAAGAATTATTTTATTGGGAACCAGCAGTTAGCGTCATGGCTATGTCGCTGGACTCCCACGTAGTCGACCGCGGTTCGTGTCCCGGACCCGGTGGCTTAAACTCACGCCGGGCGCGTGTGCGTGCGTGCCCAAGATCCCGAGAGGAGAATGGAGGAGAAGGGATTGCGGTGTGACCATCTCCACTGGCATGTGCCTGGTATGATTTTTCAAGCCACCAGGCCCAGGACTCAAACCACAGTCAGCCCTGTGGGAGTCCAGCGCCACCTACCGGCGCCACCCCCCTCATGAGTTTTAAGCCTCAGGGTCCAGGTCTCAAACATCAGTGGACTCCATGGAAGTCCAGCAGAGTAACCATTATGCCATCTGCTGGTCCCCCAGAGGGATTTTCAAGCTGTTGATCCCTGGATTCAAACCAAGGTTGGCCACATGGGAATCCACAGCCTTAAACGACACCACCTGCTGCTCCTTCCATATCATTATTATTATTTTAACGTTTAGGGCATGTATGTGCTCACTAGAGACAGACAGCAATGGTGGAGAGAGACCCCACCCAAAACAGTGTGATCATGCTACAATCTCTTCTCCATTTCTCCATCCTGTCTGGTTTGGGGCACACATGCACGTGTGCCTGGCATGTTTTTAAAGCTGCCAGGGCCAGGATTCGAACCATGGTGTGTCATGGGATATGGCTCCTGCATCTGCTGGGCTACAGGACCAGCCCCATCAGTGTTTGTTTATTTCTTCCATGAGTGAGAGACAGAAACCACTCCCAACAGGGCCTTTCTTTTTTTTTTTTTTTTTTTTGAGAGGTGTTTGCTATAGGGCGCATGCACTCACCCGAGAGACAGAGAGAGACAGAGAGACAGAAACCAGAAATCAGCCCCCAGGGCGGCTGGCCACGCTGCAATCCCTTCTCCTCCATTCTCCTCTCGGGATCTTGGGCACGCACGCACACACGCCCGGCGTGAGTTTAAGCCACTGGGTCCGGGACTTGAACTGTGGTCGACTACATGGGAGTCCAGTGATGTAGCCATTATGCCACCTGCTGGTCCCCCCTGGTGTGAGTTTTAAGTCGCCAGGTTCGGGACTAGAACCGTGGTCAACTACATAGGAGTCTAATGATGTCATCATTACACCATCTGCTGGTCCCTATTTATTATTATTTTTTTAAGTTTGTTATAGGACATGTGTGCTCACCACAGAGTGACAGAGAGGAAAAGTGACAAAACAAGCCACCAGGTCCAGGACTTGAACCGTGATCAGCTATGTTGGAGTCCAGGGCCTTAACTACCATGCCACTGACTGACCCAGTGTATATATGTGTGTTTCTTTTTTTTTTTTTGGAGAGTTTTTTGCTATAGGGTACATGTCCTCACCCGAGAGACAGAGAGAGAGAGAGAGACAGAGAGACAGAGACAGAAAGCGAGAAATCACCACCCGGGGGGGATGGCCATGCTGCAATCCCTTCTCCTCTATTCTCCTCTTGCGATCTTGGGCACACACGCACACGCGCCTGGCGTGAGTTTAAGCCACCGGGTCCGGGACTTGAACCACGGTCGACTACATGGGAGTTCAGCAGCATAGCCATTACGCCAACTGCTGGTCCCAGGATATGTGTGTTTCTTAAAGCTCCCCAGTTTATTTCAGCGTGCAGCCTGAACTCCGATGGGGTTCGACCCAGCCAGATTAACGACTCTCAGGAACTTACCGGAAACACTTGTCCTCCCATCCCATCCCAGACCTAACGATCATGATCCCCTCGTGATTCTGACGATTTGAGAATCACGGGTGTAGACAGTCCTTGAGCAATGGGACCCAGGAAATCAAGCCTGTTTCCTTCCTCTCCCCGTTTTGCCACCTCGCGAAAAGGTTTCATTTTCGTCTTAAGCAAACTGTAGATTTGACTTAAAAGGTGACGTGCCGAAGATGCTTGTGGTTAGCCCGAGCCGAGATGTGCTCATAAGTGTAAAACAGCATATTTTGGTTCTGTCTGTCTTTCTTTCTTTCTTTCTTTCTTTCTTCTTTCTGTCTTTGCGTCTTTCTCTTTTCTTTCTGGAGAGATTTTTGCTATAGGGTGCATGCGCTCGCTAGAGAGACAGAGACAGAGAAAACACGCCCGGTGTGAGTTTTAAGTAGCTGGGTCTGGGATACGAACCATGGTCAACTACGTAGGAGTCTAGTGACGCAACTATTAGGCCATCTGCTGATCTGCTGGTCCCTGTTCTTTTTTGGAGAGGTGTTTGCTATAGGGTGCATGCGATCGCCAGAAAGACAGAGAGACAGAGAGACAGAAAGCGAGAAATCACCCTCCCGGGGGGATGGCCACGCCGCAATCCCTTCTCCTCCATTCTCCTCTCGGGATCTTGGGCACGCGCGCACACGCGCCTGGCATGAGGTTAACCCATCGGGTCTGGGACTCAAACCGCGGTCGACTACATGGGAGTCCAGTGGTATAGCCATTATACCAACTGCTGGTCGCAAAATTAAATATTTTTTAAAAAATGCGATCCGCAAGTGCTGTGGTGGTTAAGGGCGATGGACTCCCACAGGGCCGGCCATGGTTCCAGTCCCAGACCTGAAGGCTTGCTTTCTTACTTTCTCTCTGCCTCTGTCCCTCTCTGGTCAAATTAAAATAAAGTTAAATACAATAATTCTTAAAAAAATAAGTACATAAAAAGAGGGACCAGCAGTTAGCGTAATGGCTATGTCGCTGGACTCCCATGTAGTCAACTACGGTTCGAGTCCCGGACCTGGTGGCTTAAACTCACGCCGGGCACGTGTGCGTGCATGCCCAGGATCCCAAGAGGAGAATGGAGGAGAAGGGATTGTGGCATGGCCATCTCCCCTAGGGGGTGATCTCGCTTTCTGTCTCTCTGTCTCTGTCTGGCGAGCGCACGTGCCCTACAGCAAAAACCTCTCAAAAAAAAAATATAAATAAAATAAAAAGCAAGAAAGGTGGTGACTCACGGCTGAGTGACACCAGGGCACACTTGCGATGTGCCGCATTGGGTTTGGGTCCAGGCTCTGCTACTTGTCCACAGGCAATTTGGGCAGGTGAGTCCACCTGTCAGCCAGGGTCCCCTCTCTTGTCTAAGCCTGCTGTAAAGCTTAGCGAGCTCAGGCTGGGGTCCCTTAGGCTTCTCCCACCCCGTCTACGCCCTGGGTACCCTGCCAACCACGGTGACCTGCCCGGCTCCGAGACTCAAAAACTGCAAGTGGAAAATCGAATTCCACCCTTTGGAAACTGATCTCGGCCCGTTTGCTGGGGCATGTCGGGAAATGTAGTCTTTGACACCAGAAAAAAAATCACTTCCGCGTTCAAATGTTAACAATGGGCGTGGCCCTAAGTCTTCTCCATTGGGCGTTCAATTTCCCTGTTACCCTAAACTTGAGGTTTATCTGGGTTCCGGTGGATGACAAGCCCCGCTACTTCCCCTTTTGCTTCATAGGCACCTCTGCGCATGCGCCTCCCGCCTACTACGGGTTTGCCCAAAGACTACATTTCCCAGAAAGCTCCGCGACTGGGCGTGGCCCTCCCGCCCCAAGGGGCGGGGCGCGGCGCGGCGCTTGGAAGGGACGCTGAGGCTGTGACCTCTTTCTTTTATTTAACGCAAAATTGGTGGTTGTCTGCACTCAGGGCCCTGCAGCCGGGCCGGGCTGGGTGCAGACGGGTCAGCTCGGCCTGACCTCTTGGAAGGGGAGGCCGGGCTGCATTAGGAGAACGAGTGAGCCCCTCCGTGCCTCCTCTGCTGGAGTTCGGAGCTGCTGGGCTGCAGCTCTCACCGCCTTCCCCAGCTTCAGGAACCCTGCGCAGCCCATGCCGCGGGCCCGGCCGTGCTCGGTGGCCGAGCGGGGCCTGCCTGGCCGGTGAGGATCTGCACCAGGAAGTCGGTGGCCAGCATGTGCGACGGCTCCTCGAAGCCGATGGTCAGAAGCTGCTGGTAGTCCCCAGGAGGCTGCGGACACAATATCCTAGGGGGGCCGGGGACGGACAGGCCTGGACGTGAGCACCCCCTGCCCCTGGCGAACCCCTCCCCTCGAATGCTAGATGGTGGCTGAAAGAGGCTTTGTTTCAGCTGGGGGTAGGGGGTGTCGTGGGGGGGGTTGGAAAAACCCTGGTAGAAAGTTATTTTCTTGTTTGATGAGACATTTAGAGAGTGATGGCTCTCGGTGGCTGAGTAAGTGGCTCTGACCTGGCCAATCACTTCTGCTAGCTTTGTGGCCTTGGGCGTGTAACTTAACCCCTCTGAGCACCTGTGTTGTCAAACGGAGCAGTAAGACCTCCGTGGGTCGGTACGTGAGTCTGCATAAAGCACTTTTCAGGGCACAATAACATGCCATCATTATTCCGGAGGGGAGCACAGGGCTGGGGTTTGGTAGGGGTCTGTCCCACCCTCCAGAAGCCAAGCCCATCTCGCCATTACCCGCGGCTCCTTACCATGAATACGGGTCATCTTCAGCTGGTCCTAGGGGCACCCAGCGACCGATGGACCAGAGCTTCTGGATCTGGGGGCACGAATTGGCTGGACTCTTATCTGTGTCTTCCCAGGTATCGCGGTAGCACAGGAAGTAGCTGAAGGGGAGGAGAAGGGGAGGAGCAGCAGTTAAAGAGTGATCAGTTTCAAGGCCCAGTTTTGGGACCAGCAGATGGTGTAATGGTTACTTCTCTGGACTTTCACACAATTGAACCTGGTTCGAGTCCCAGACCTGGCAGTTTAAGACACACATCAGACACGTGTGCATACATCCCCAAGATCCTGAGAGGAGAATGGAGGACAAGGGATTGCACCCATGGCCAAACCCCCGGGGGTGGGGGGTGATTTCTCACTTCCTGTCTCTGCCTCTCTGGTTATCTCATGCACCCTATAGCAAAAATCTCTCTTAAAAAAAAAAGTGATCAGTTTTCTTGCTTGTGTCGAGGGCTTTAATTTTGGAGGCAAAGTGGAAACTTGTCAGGAGTTGCACTGTTTGGGGGTTCAGAGAGTGCAAGGCTGATCCCGAGATCAACCTGGGTATCCTGGGTTGAGACTGGCTGAAGCTGGAGGTGGAGCATGGCACTGAGACCCTGTTGGGGTGTCATCTGTTTGTCTGCCTCTCTCGGTCATGGAAGAAACAAATTAAAAAAAAATTTTTTTTTAAAGTCTGAATTTCTCAGGGTAGGGCTGTGACTCAAATCTTTCTTTCTGCCAGTCTCCTTTTTTTTTTTTTTTAAGAATTATTTCATTTAACTTTATTTATTTATTTTAATTTGATCAGAGAGTGACAGAGGAGAAAGTGAGAGAGCAAGTCACCAGGTCCGGGACTTGAACCGTGGTCGACCATGTGGGAGTCCGGCACCCTTAACCACCACGTCACTTGTCAGCCCCTCAGCCAGTCGACTTTTAAGACAAGGACTTTTATTTTGATGGGAGGATAGATTTAAAAAAGAAAAGGTAGAAGTGGTTTTCTTTCTTTCTTTTTTTTTTTTTTTTTTTTCAGTCTTCAGTGTCAGAGACAGAGGATGGAAAGGGAGAAATTACTCTCCAATCTCCTCTGAGGACTTCGGGCAAGCGCACACACACACCCAGTGCGATTTTCAAGTGGGTGGGCCTGGGACTCGAACCACATGATTGGCCCTGTGAGGTCCAGCCACCTTAACCTTGGCATCACCTGCTGGTCTAGGTCTCCTGATTTGCTGTCCACACTTTGGTGGAAATGGTTCGGAGGTCTTTGATTTTGGTAGGGGGACTTACTAATCCACATGGGAATCTTGCCCCTGGCCACTGGGGTCTGGGGTCATTTCCAGGTTCCAGCGAATCTTCTTATAGAGGTATCGGGGGAAGCGACTGGCGGTGTAGGCAGCCGGGGCGCAGTATCTGAAGATGGACACCTCATGGGTGGGGCTGATGGAGAACCGTCCGCAGAAAAAACAGGAGATACTAGGAAGAGACGGAAGGATGATAATGAGGAGGGGCCCAGGGACTCCACCGCCTGTCCCCCACCCAAGTCCCCAACTCCGTTACCTCAAGGGGTCCGTCTCCTCCAGGTCCACGAACCCAAAAGATGCATACATGAGGACCAGCTGTTCTAGGCGCAGGGTTAGCTGCTGCGAGATCTCCAACAGCTATGCATGCGGTACAGGGGGTTGTTGGGAGCAGCCGGCCTGCAGGGACCCACAGGCCCCGCCCATTGCCGCGCCCCTCGCCTCTCGCCCCGCCCCTAGACCTGGCTCTGGAGACTTTCTGCCTTACCCCCTTGCGGACCAGCTCCTGCAGGACTCCGTAGATGGGAGGCACGCTCCTTGCAGCCGCTTCCAGGTATAGGAAATAGGGCTCGCACATCTGCAAGAAGGTGGGCATAGCCCTGGCCAGCTGTTCTTTCTGCACCCTGTCCCTGCTGAAGGGAGAAGGGCGGGGGGTCTTTGCATGGAATCGCACACACCCCTTCCCCGGTTTCTCTCATTGTCCTCACCTGCAACCTGTATCCCCGGCCTGGACCACCGTGACAAAACTCCCCAGTGCTAGTCTTTTTTTTTTTTTTTTATTGAAAGATTTTTTTGCTATAGGGAACATGCACTTGCTGGAGAGACAGAGACTGAGAGATAGTGAAAGATCACCACCCAGGGGGGGAGGGCCACGCCGCAATCCCTTCTCCTCCATTCTCCTCTCAGGATCTTAGGCACGCACGCACACGCGCCCGGTGTGAGTTTAAGCTGCTGGGTCCGGGACTCGAACCGCGGTTGACTATGTGGGAGTCCAGTGATGCAACCATCTGCTGGTCCCTCTAGGCTTTTCTTCGGAGCATCTCTCAGGCCCACCAACATCAAAAGCATCTGGGGCACTTGTGAAAATGCCCAACACCTGCTAGCTTGTATTTATTTTTTTAAGGTTTTTACCATAGTGCACGCTCATGCGCTCTCTGCATGAGAGACAATGAGAGGGAAAGTGAGAAATCACCCCCTAGGGGGGATGGCCATGCCACAGTCCTTTCTCTTCCATTCTCGTCCTCAGATTTAGGGGCACACATACATATGGGCCCCATGTGATTTTCAAACTGCCGGGTCCAGGACTTGAACTGCGGTTGACCATGTGGGAATCCATCCCCTTCACCACCACGTCACCTGCTGCCCCGCCCCCGCCGCTCACTTTTGACTTAAAACACCTTGCAGGGTGAAACTCAGAAATCAAAGGTTTAAACTGGCCTCCCAAGACATTCTAACCGGCATTGAAATTTGAGTATCAGATCTGTCCCTTATTCCCCTAACCAGGAATCTCATTACCCTTTGGGATCTCACACCGATAACCTGCGGGCCAAATCTGGCTCAGGTGGGTTTGCTGAGCCAGCACCAGGTTCATCATTTAACAACTGGGAGGTGGGACCAGCAGGTGGCAACGTGACTGAGGCCCTGGACTTCCCACATGGCCAATCATGGTTCGAGTCCTGGACATGGTGGCTTGTTTTCGCACTTTCCCTCTGTGTATTCCTCTGGGGAACTCGTAAATAAATAAATAAATACTTCTTTAAAACAAACACACAAAAAACAGCTGGGAAGAAAAGTCCTAGCGCTTCGGCAACACTGGAGTGAGTTTAAGCCACCGGGTCCGGGACTCGAACCGTGGTCGACTGCATGGGAGCCCAATGATACCCATTACGCCAACTGCTGGTCCTCAAATTGGGATTTTAATCAACTACTATCTGCATTTACTATTTCTCTCTGGCTCCCAGTGGTTTCGAACTTGCGACCCTCTAACTCTCCTATCGCACAGGGACCTAGGACCCCGTCCCGCGTCACCTGTAGAGCAAGTAGCTTTGGAAATCATCCGCCTTCTTGAGCAGGTAGCTGAGCTGCTCGGTGATGGGGCTGAATATGGTGTCCAAGGGAAGTCGAGGAAGGGGTGGCCCGGGCCCAGGGCCCAGAGGCTCAGGGGAAGGCGTGGAGGTGGGGACCTCCTGCAGCTGCCCCTGGGCACCCTCGGGCTCCAGCTCTGGAGGGTCCCTAGGCCTGCCAGGCGACGTCAACCAGGAGGGGTCTCCGGAGGGCTCCCTCTCGGGTTCCAAGTCGTCCGGGGGCGGCGGCGTGTCTCCCGCGCCCAGAGGAAGCGGCTCCAGGAACCACTGCTCGGTAGCCATCCAGAGGCCGAGGGGCGGGACCCGAGCCCTTTAAAGCCTCCGTGGCTCCCGTTGGCGGTGAGTTCGACCCCGCCCCGGCGGCAGCCTCAACAAGTCTTGGACTAGCTTGGCCCGGAGCGCCGACGCCCTCCAACTCGCCCCTGTCTCGACCTCTCCGCCCGTGCCAAACCGCGTCGGGGGGAAGTTCGCCTCGTTTGAATTTCAACACGCGCGAGGGGGCGCGCCAATCCGGCCCGCGCTGCGCACACGCGCGCTCCAGGAACACGCGGGGGTGGGGGAGAGACAACTGAGGGAGGCGACCTAGGTCGGCCCTGGGGATGCAGCCACGATCCAGCCATCCCCCCGTGGGGTGTGTGCGCGCGGGTCTCTAACGCGTGTCCAAACACCGGGCCTCAGGTGCTTGCAGGGAGGATGCCCAGGCCCTGTCCCTGCGTCTCTAACTCCCCAAAACCGTAACTTTTGAAAAACCGTAATCTTGTTGAACTTAGTAGGGACTGTGTGATGTAGTGTCAATATTAATAAAAATAAATCACTCGGATATTCGTCCTGTCTCGTGATCTCACTAACCCCATATTCTTTCTGCTGTTTTTATGAACCCCAGGACCCAGAAGAGACCGGACGCCCATATTTGCAGCCTAGATTTTTCGTAGCACGCAAAAGCTGATAGGCCTAGATTTACAAAGCCAAATACACTCATTATATTTAAAGACTCAGTGAAGACCTCCGCAAGGTGTTAAGAGCAAGCATTTTGGCTGTACTAAGCCAGTGGCCTCCTCTGTAAAGTGGGTTTTTATGAGCTCTTCCGCCCCATGGGGCTGCGGAGAGGACAACCCAGAAAATGTTAGTA